AAATAAAAATGAGATTGTAATTACATTATTATAATTAATTTTATTTATTTATTTTATTATTATTATTTTTATAAAATTAATAATTTTAATAATAATAATAAAAATATTTAAAAATTACGCTTATTTATTTTTAAATATGTCATTATTAATCATTTAATGTTAAATAGCAACTGTTAATTATTGTATAGCCAAACAGTTATATTTATCGAATCCACTATTTACCATCCGCTACCCACTTTCCGCTATCTACCATCCGTTATCCGCTAACTACCACCCGCTATCTGCTATCGGTATCTACTATTTGCTACCGGCTATCCGCTATCCACTGAATTTTAACCACTGTACCAAACGGGCCTTTAATCTGACAGTACTGCATTGTAATTGCAACGATAAGTTTTTTGAGTTTTTTAATATCTTTAAAATATATTAAATATACTTAATATTTATATTGACTAACATTTTATGTATTTTTAAAATAACAAAAAAAATATGAAAACCAAAAATTAAAAAAATGAAAAACATTCGCAAACAAAACCTTAAATATGCAAATATTTATGAAGTTCTCTACAAATATGACTTTGATAACTAAATACAATTAAAGACCAACCGTCTATTCTATTCTAACTAGAGAAGGACAGCTACAATTACATTGTTTATAAACTTGACTATGTTGCTTCTTTTAAGATCCTCAAATCAGAACCATAATCATTTTAAAAAGGAAATTAGAACGCCATTAATTAGAATAAAATCTCATTTCAGAGAAAAATATAAAAGGAAGCCATAGAAACATTTTAAGTTGTAACTACTGCGAGAGATTAAATACCTCCAACATTTTAGGCCTAAAATAGGAAGAAGAATGGGAACATTTTTAATTTGCTGAAAACATCTTTAACTAAAATAGCATTAATTAGCATAACCACTGAATCATGAGTAGTTAGGGGGAGAATATCAGCCTAGAAAAATTGAGCCTTGGCATCATCTATGTGCAGAATTACATATGAGAGGGAGTTGGGTATGAATTTCACCTCAAGGTCTAAAAGGTTAAAAATAAATAGATATAAGCTTAAGGTTATTTGAAAAAAAAAGAAAAAAAGCCCTACCTTAAATTCCACCATAGAGACTAAAAATGGTGTAGAGCGAAGGGTTCAAGAAAAATGGCCCTACCCTTTAGCTATTCCTGGTTCTGCCCCTGGCATCATAACGACTTCATAACCTCTTAACTAGCCATTCGGCGGGACAGTCTCTTCGGTATTAGGCCCGTTAATGAGGATGGAAGCATCACATCCATGGACAAAGCAGAGTCATGGAAGAACACATTTGTAGCAATCCAGGAGGTGTGGTGGGGTCAGACCGAA